AAATGTTTGAAAATTAGCAATTTGTCATAATTTGTAATTTACTTCTTTGGAATCGAGTTTCTTGAGTTCATTCTCTGCTTCTTCGAGTTCTTCTTGTGTTGTATCGGATGTCGTATAACCTAATCATCAAAATTTTATAATCAGATCCGAATATTTAATAAAAAGTGTTTGTCATAAATACATACTTTCATAAATCATACGAAATCCAAAAAAAGTAAACAAAATGATTGATAAATAGTTGATGAAAGTTTTAGGTATGACTTGTGTTACGATTCCCAATAAAACTATTAATTTCACAAATTGTTAGTGAATTAAAGACATTAAATACACTTAAAGCAAAGCAAACCTGAAATGCCATTCATAACAACATTGGCTGTCATTGAGCCGAAGAAGACGGGAGATCTGGAGTTCTTCATCGCCATAATGGCTGATATGAAGAATGTTTTGTCTCCCAATTCTGAGAATATAATGACAATAAATGAAGCGATCAATGCCTGTGTAAACCGCGATTCTATCAGTAATGACCACAAATGTTTAGTCTGCAAAACGAGTCATTTGGTATACTTTACAACAAACTATATATTACATCAATTATAGACATTACAGTATCGCATAGAGGAGTGAATGATCCCATATATTGGCTTAAGAATACACAGATGAGGGCAACCATCAAATAGGTTGCCTTTGAAGTTGTTTGCATACCTAACAACATTTAAAATAATTACAATATTAATTCAACGCATATCATTAAAACATACTTATTAAAGCAGTCATTGCTTGAAATGTGTTTCAAATGTATTCCCTAAAAAATAAAATAAGTTTCTTTATGATTACTACACTGTATTAAAAGTATTAAAATAAGTTTATTCGTTAAATTCTTGAAAAAGTTTAGATTTGAAGAAAACAATGGTTTTTATAGTTTTGAACATTTAATAGACATTAATTTAGTTTATGAAAGTGTTTGCGAACGCATACAATCAGATGACTTTTGTCCACTTTTCGTATCAATTTCTATTGTCTTTCCGACAAATCACTTGTATTTTATGAATAAATTGATAACAAAGTTAAAGTTTGCAGCAATGAAGTAATCGCTAATAAAAACCCTCATTTGTGTCCATAATAAGTGTTTAATAACGCAATTGTGTAAAAATAATACACACTTTAGAGTTACTAATATTATCACAAAACACAATACTTGCGTCAAATGAGTGAACAATTAACGATTGATACCCTCATTTGTGTCCATAATAAGTGTTTAATAACGCAATTGTGTAAAAATAATACACACTTTAGAGTTACTAATATTATCACAAAACACAATACTTGCGTCAAATGAGTGAACAATTAACGATTGATTGAAATCACAATTATATCTCATATATACTTACGTTAATAGACTTCTGGTGTTGACTAACGCTTCACAAATAATTAATATGTAATTAATAAAATATTTAATCACTAAATAATATTTACTTTAAACCCACTTATAATTAGAATGTATTGTATTTTATTAATAATTAACGCATTAAACGTTTACTTAATTTAATTGTAAAAATTTAAAATGTTTTCCAAATTATTTTAACAATTTTTTGAGTTTAAACAATTGAAACATTTTTATAGTTAATTATTAATTAATAGCTAAATGTTAAGTGTTTTGACTTAAAATTGACAAAAACTGATATTAAATCTATTGTTGAAATATATGTCAATAGAATAGAGAGTTAATGAAAATGAAATGTTTATCACGTTTAATAATATCTCGTTAAACAGATAACACAACTATTAAGGTCTTGAATTTTAGGGACAACTTTCAGATTTAACAGATGATTGGCTTTAATAAAATTCACATTAATTGCTATAAAATTATAAAATAAATCCACATTTTATGATAATAAACACTTTTCAAAGTCAATAAACTATTAATTATGAATTATACATATTTTGTACATTATATACAGGTTTGGTTCGCATTTAAAAACAGAATTCAGTAATTAATTGAAAGTAATTAATATGTTTGCAAAATAATAACTAAATGATAAATGTTGTTTTTATTTTAAATGTAAGCCTAAAAATATATTAAGAACGAGATAGTAATAAAATTTAAATGTATTTTCTAGTGATAACAGTATTCTGTTATAACAAACATAAGATTCTTATTGAATACAATGACCACAAAAATAGCAGAAATGAGTGAATTTGATATTCCGTTACAAGTATTGGAGTTTAAATGGAAACAAAATTTACAACAAGAAACCGAAGACTGCTATCAAAAAGTTGTGGCCATTCTTAACGTCTTAATGAATGATAAACTTAACGACAATTTTTACGCTATTGTCTATCGATGCGAACCAATGACTGACAAACAAATGAGTGAACACATGTCTGCTTTCAATCACGACGAAGACATCGCCATCAAAGACAACGACGAGCTAAAAATTATAATAGATTTATGGATTCAGGACTCGACTAAACTGAGGGCTGAATCACAAAAAGAGCTCCAAAATGTGACCAAATGTGAAGAGTTTCTCAAATTACTGGACAAACAAGAAAAGGATTACACGTTTGCCATCAATAAAGTATTGAAGAGCGACCCTCACAGTGACGACTATCAAAGCCATGCCATCCAAACCAATGGCTTAGTATCCGCATCGAGTCCACCCTTGCCTGACATAACTGCAGTGTCTCCACCATCTGATGCCAAGTTTGGTCGCAATTTATTATAAATAATCATCCATTTAATTGTAAAATCTATTTTGACAGCAAAAAAGTGGTTGAAAATACATCAGAAGTGAAGAGCGAACTCATAATAACGCTAAAAGTGGACGAAAATACCAAAGATTATTCACTGCCGGAAGCGATTGCTTTGATCAGTGAGAAGAAGAACACGTTTGCGATGCACTTCTTCGCCGCCGATTGTCTTGAGTATAGCGTTCGCGCTCTTCAGGCACTCAATCATCACAAACGGACTCATATTCAGAAGTGGTGTC